AGTAGCATGTAGCTAATAGTATATTGTGTGTGTGAATATAAGGAGAATGACGCGTGGAGTTACACACTAAACACACCGCCTCCAACTCTCCCTCATCGACGCTGCATTACTACTATTATTATGTGTTTAATGACCAACAGCAGAATAATTGTATATTCAAATACCATAGAGATGCGCTACAGCTATGTCATCAGAGGACTACAGAAGAAGACCCGCCCCGTCGACGTCAGCCAATGGAAGGAGACTAAATACGAGTATGAGCATATAAATACGATGTTAGAGAGATAAACGTTCTCTTTCATTCATGCAGCTGCAGACAGCTAACTGCTTTGTGTGGACTGTGGACCAGATCATTCAACACACTCTCACTCCCTAAGCGTCCAGGAGCGACATTTGGTCAGTGTCCGTGGCGTCCAGTTGTGACGCTCCTCGGCTCCTTCAGCTTCATAAAGGGACGCAAATAGCTTTCAACTGATTGCAATGTATTCCCATCTGCGGCGGGATTTGACGCTCATGGAAGCACGGCATTCGTTTGTGTCGGCTGCCCTTAAAGGCAATGTGAGCGTCCATTCCCATTGGATAACGGAGAATTGTACAGCCGGAAGTAAGTATTCCCCTTACTGTCGATTGATTTTACAGTGATATCTGCACTACTCATCGACTAAAAAACACCAGATTATCCTTGTTAATTACACAACATTGATTGGTTTAAATTGTGTGCAATGCTTTTGTATTTTTCCTCTTCGATTCGGAGAAACAAATATTTTTTCGGAGTAAAGGATGGCAGAAGACACTACACTACCCAGAATCCCCAGCTATCGTTTGGACTACACCATGTGCTCTGTTTGACGTCACGTGATCTTCAAATTTCTCCCTGCAGAAAAAGAAAACATGGCCGAACTTCGTTTTATTCTCGGTGGAAAATGCCAATTTTAAAGTTAGTTTGGCCATTAAAATGCATTTTGATGTCATTTGATGCGAGAAATATGAGTTGTTATTTCAGATTATGTGTGCAGTGGATGTACATGATCTTTAGTTTGCTAGTTATTACGAAGATTACTTCAGGACATCGCGACGTTTTCATTGTTACCAAGGTGGTTGCTAGGGACGCTGCTATCGATATTATTTCTGTTATGTTGTGTAACTGTTTAATGATGTTATCTTTATTGCTACCCCCTTCCCCGTCAATGTATAGTGTTGGTCCACAGCGCAAACATATTAGTTTAACAAAATCCGCATCTAAAGATAGCCTACGTTATTTTCCCCTGTGCGATTCCAGTCTCACATCTCACATCACATCGTCATGAACAAATACCGGAAACAGACCGAAAACTTTAAAAAAAATTAAATAATACTTTATTCCGAGTGTGCTTGCTTTTCTCTTTGAAAGTCATCACATAACGGCATTGTAATACACGGTTCGGCTGCATTAAATATTACATATCTGCCGTAGTTCTGTATTTATAGAGCCCTGATGAGAAGACTTCTAGACAAACATGAGGAACTGAAAACGTGACGTGGATCATAAATATGTTCCAACTTGGGATCAATAAAGTATATCTTATTTTAAGCTGATCGATGGCTACTGCCATATTTGCAAAATTTGTCTCTGAACCTTAACAAGTGCATGTTTCAGGCTTATCAATTAATGTAATGTAATGTTATCAATTAACAACAGGGGTCACAAACACAAGACCAGCTGTTAAATAAAGCTCTTCTGACCTTAGCTGGCATGTGCTGACGGGTGGCGCAGTGGTCTGTGCGTTTGATCATCAGATCAAGGGGGCGTTGGGGAACTCCAGTTCGAAACCCGCTCCCGCCCCACTGCGTCAGGCCGTTGTGTCCTTGGGCAAGACACTTCACCCGAATTTGCTCCTGTGGGTATTGTCCACAGTAGATGACCATTACATGTATGATCTGTATGTGTAATGTGTATTTGTAAAGCGCTTTGAGAGTCTTTGATAAAGCGCTATAATAAATATAAGGATTATTATTATTATTATTATTATGTGTGTATATATATTAATGCTGCCCATTATGGGCACAAGCAATTTTCACCCATTTATTAATTATATGTTTTAAATGTGAGTGTTTCCTATCCCCTAAACCTCCAGGGATGTACACAGTTTAATACTGGCAACTTCTTATTATGGGAAATACGAAAACGTCTTTTAAAACTACAACTCCCAGTAGAGACGTGCCATAGATACAGAACATGTTGCGAAACAGAATAGCCAGCATTTGTAGTTCTGGGGACGGGGCGGGGGAGGGGGGGACGCGGTGGACCCGTTCAAATCCAGTTTTGGACAGTCTGCCGTGATTCCATCCCATTTCAAGTGCTGTTCGAGGCTCGGCGTAACCCTCGGAGCACACTCTCCAATCACAGAGCTTGAGGACTATCACGGGGTTTGTCAAACAGAGCACATGGTGTAGTCCTAAACGATAGCTGGGGATTCTGGGTAGTGTAGTGTTTTCTGCCATCCTTTACTCAGAAAAAACATTTGTTTCTCCGAATCGAAGGGGAAAAATACAAAAGCATTGCACACAATTTAAACCAATCAATGTTGTGTAATTAACAAGGATAATCTGGTGTTTTTTAGTCGATGAGTAGTGCAGATATCACTGTAAAATCAATCCACAGTAAGGGGAATACTTACTTCCGGGTGTACAATTCTCCGTTATCCAATGGGAATGGACGCTCACATTGCCTTTAAGGGCAGCCGACACAAACGAATGCCGTGCTTCCATGAGCGTCAAATCCCGCCGCAGATGGGAATACATTGCAATCAGTTGAAAGCTATTTGCGTCCCTTTATGAAGCTGAAGGAGCCTAGGAGCGTCACAACTGGACGCCACGGACACTGACCAAACGTCGCTCCTGGACGCTTAGGGAGTGAGAGTGTGTTGGGATAGAAGAACGACAGCTGTGTTCCCTTGTAAACCTACTATATTATCGCATTCATAAATACTGTTGAACTTTCCGAGAAGCTTCGTGGTCTTCTTTAGACTAACTCTTGGTCTTCACACAAAAGAACAACATACCTCTTCAGAACGGCCAGAGCGAACATCTTCTTCATCTCTTTGCTGAGTTTCTTCAAACCAGTCCTGACAGTGACGTCATACAAAGGCAGGAAGATATGCACATCTGTAAAGAATTTGGTGTGTGGAATAGCATTGAGAGACGAGAAGCTTCTGAGGAGATGGGGCTGGTCTTCAGAGCGTGAGAGCTGCGCCACCTCAGAGCTTCTCTTGGTCAGTGTAGAGATGTCCTGTTGCAGCTCTTTGATGAAGCCTTCAGCCTGTTGCTCTGTCTCTCTCTGCTTCCCTTTCATCGTGTCCATGAGCTCAGCCTGCCGACTCTCAACCGTCTCCTTCAGAGCGGTGAAGAGCTCAACACAGCCCTTTAACTCTCTCTCTGCCTGCTCCTTACTGAGCTCCAGAGAGTGTTTGAAGTCCTGAATCTTCAGTCGTCTCTTCTGGATCATCTGCCCAATTAGGACCCCTGTGTTCCTCAACTTTGCCTTCTTTTCTTTAAATTCTTTTCTAAGACTTTCATTGTCATGTGTCTCGTGGTTTAAAACCAACCAGATGGAGACACACATCACACACACCAGGCAGGATATCAGGACGCTCAGCTTGGTTCCAGAGCAGACGCCACGAGGAACTTCTCCTGAAGACATTGCTAGACACCGTGCAGCCAACACTCTGAGGATGAAAAGTGAGAGTCTAGTTATTTTGTACTTTGAAGGGGTTGTTATGCTAGTTTTTAGGTTAATGTATACCCATTTAAATGCAGAAAACCCTTTAGAAGCATAATAGGGCCTCTTTAATTTGTCGAGTATCAGTATGATTGTTCTAACTCCAAACAGATCATTGATCAGGAGCCTTTTGTGTCACTTTTTAACAAACTGGGTACACCTTTAGCTTCATTTTTTTAAAGACCTATGATGCAGGTAATTTCAATGCTACAAGTATTTGTGTAGGCCCTGAAGGCAAACAAATGATGATTTATGATATGTACACGTTTAGTTCAGCAGGTACATCTCCACATGTTAACACCACTTTATGATTTCTGAAGTAAAACGCTAATGTTGGGCTATAAAGGAACTCCAGCACGGTCACATGACTTCACGTCACCACCGCTAAGCTAAAGGAGGCTAATGTTGGGCTATAAAGGAACTAGAGCACGGTCACATGACTTCACGTCACCACCGCTAAGCTAAAGATGGCTAATGTTGGGCTATAAAGGAACTACAGCACGGTCACATGACTTCACGTCACCACCGCTAAGCTAAAGGAGGCTGATGTTGGGCTATAAAGGAACTACAGCACGGTCACATGACTTCACGTCACCACCGCTAAGCTAAAGGTGGCTAATGTTGCTATAAAAGAACTACAGCACGGTCACATGACTTCACGTCACCACCGCTAAGCTAAAGGAGGCTAATGTTTGGCTATAAAGGAACTACAGCACAGTCACATGACTTCACGTCACCACCGCTAAGCTAAAGGTGGCTAATGTTGGGCTATAAAGAAACTACAGCACGGTCACATGACTTCACGTCACCACCGCTAAGCTAAAGGTGGCTAATGTTGCTATAAAAGAACTACAGCACGATCACATGACTTCACGTCACCACCGCCTAAGCTAAAGGCGGCTAATGTTGGGCTATAAAGGAACTACAGCACGGTCACATGACTTCACGTCACCACCGCTAAGCTAAAGGAGGCTAATGTTGGGCTATAAGGAACTACAGCACAGTCACATGACTTCACGTCACCACCGCTAAGCTAAAGGTGGCTAATGTTGGGCTATAAAGGAACTACAGCACGGTCACATGACTTCACGTCACCACCGCTAAGCTAAAGGTGGCTAATGTTGCTATAAAAGAACTACAGCACGATCACATGACTTCACGTCACCACCGCTAAGCTAAAGGCGGCTAATGTTGGGCTATAAAGGAACTACAGCACGGTCACATGACTTCACGTCACCACCGCTAAGCTAAAGGTGGCTAATGTTGGGCTATAAAGGAACTACAGCACGGTCACATGACTTCACGTCACCACCGCTAAGCTAAAGGTGGCTAATGTTGCTATAAAAGAACTACAGCACGGTCACATGACTTCACGTCACCACCGCTAAGCTAAAGGAGGCTAATGTTGGGCTATAAAGGAACTACAGCACGGTCACATGACTTCACGTCACCACCGCTAAGCTAAAGGTGGCTAATGTTGCTATAAAGGAACTACAGCACGGTCACATGACTTCACCCCACCACCGCTAAGCTAAAGGAGGCTAATGTTGGGCTATAAAGGAACTACAGCACGGTCACATGACTTCACGTCACCACCGCTAAGCTAAAGGAGGCTAATGTTGGGCTATAAAGGAACTACAGCACGGTCACATGACTTCACGTCACCACCGCTAAGCTAAAGGAGGCTAATGCTGAGTAATTATTGGGTTTCAGGATTTATCCCTGCTACACTGTAATCTCTTTGATCAACAGTCTCTCGTAGTGTGAGTTTTAGATCAGCTGTCTCTTGGGTTAAAGTCCACTCTTAATTGTATATCACCTGACTTCCTCCATTACAAGACACCCAAAACTGACGATAGAGGGCTGCTGCATTTTATCATCCAAAAAGATAATACGTTTAAATCTTAAATCTGATCGACGTGGGGCGTCAAAGTTTGACGTGTAAAGCCACTGAACAGAGGTTGACGAGATAAAACTAAATACGATCGTCTGAACTCACCCGTGTGTGTTGTTGAGAATATCCTGACCAACTGCAGCTCTACAGTTTTGTTTTGACCACTGACCAAGCTGCTGGAAGAGTGTAGATTTCTGTGTTAGTTGATACTCACCAGTGTTTGCTAGAACGTGTTGAGAAACTCCTGATTATTTGGTCCGACTGCAGCTCTCCAGTTTCATCTGATAATGAGAAACTTAAACTGCGGCTGGAGAATAGCTGTTATCACCCTCAGGTTATAGTGACACAGAGTCTGGTAAAAGACTCATGTCATTAAATGTGACACATCATTAGAAAAAACAATGACAGCAAAAAAATCCAGTAAAAGATTTGAATGACTTTGTAAGAACCGTCTAAAGTTCAGTTTGTGATTGTCTATCAGCTGTTTCAGCATTAGTAACTCATTGACAGGTCTTTAATGTATATTGTTAAGTTTTACAGTCCAGCGTTTGTAGACGGACAGTTTTAACTATCACTCTATAACACATTTCCAGTTTTGGGGGAGAGAAACACTGAGATGTTAGCCTTTGCAGACCATTTACATGCACTGAAACCTATCGAACACACTACAGGAGGGGCATACATGATGTATCAATCATTTTCTATAAAATATAATATTCTTTCAAATCAATAAGTAGATATGGTGCTTTATGTATATTTTAAAGGTGACAACATTTTTATTTCGTATTTAAGATGTTATATTAGTATATTAAGTGGTTTTGAAGCATGTTTTATACACAGTGCATAATAGAGTCGTCCTCTGATGGTAACTAGATAATATTATTGTTACAAAAAGTGTCGATGCAATAACTAAGGAATTAATAAGATGGCTAGTCACAAAAAATGTATTCTTAAGTGCTTTTATTCACAGCCAAAGCCCCTGAAAAAACTAAGTTACAAGGACGTCCAGAAGAGAACGAAAACAAACCTTATATAGAGCTCTAAGAAATGTAACCTGGTACCTCTCTGCTCTACAGCCACCGTCAGAATAACACAAAGTCACTTGTGGCCAGAGGTTTATATCTGTTAAGCCCCTCCCCCTAGGCCAATCCACTATTTATAAACTTGTAATTCTTACCACCTACAAATGTATTGAAAATGTATTTCAAACTAATTAAACACAATAAATCAAATAGGTCAACATATTCTACTTTTTCTGACCACAGAAGACCTAAACAATTACTTTTAATGCTTTTAAATATTGTCCCCCCTGCCCATGCGCTACATGGTACGCTCCAATTGAGCCCAGCTGTTCCACTGAGTGAGCCTGTACCTAAGGAGCAGTTTCCTGCTTCTCTGTTTGGAACTGAGAGAGTAGGCAGGTTCCTTTGGCACAGCATTGTTAAGTTAAGTATGATTTAAAAGTAGAAATACTGAAAGGTAGTGATGGCGAGATGAAGCCTTATGCAGCTTTGAAGCTTTCCAGCCAATTGGTTCGCAAAAGGGTTCATCTCATGAGGCTTCATCATGGGCTTCATCTCATGAGGCTTCATCATGGGCTTCATCTCATGAGGCTTCATCATGGGCTTCATCTCATGAGGCTTCATCATGGGCTTCATCTCATGAGGCTTCATCATGGGCTTCATCTCATGAGGCTTCATCATGGGCTTCATCTCATGAGGCTTCATCATGGGCTTCATCTCATGAGGCTTCATCATGGGCTTCATCTCATGAGGCTTCATCATGGGCTTCATCTCATGAGGCTTCATCATGGGCTTCATCTGAACACAAACCCCCTGCTGGTCAAAGTGTGTACAACACGCAGACATCTCAACAGTGTGCTCTATCTCATACCGAGTTCCCAATGAGTAAAGCCTTAGAATAACTCTAAACAACCAACATTAAATCATATTTTCATGTTAACAATATTGTTCTTATTCCAGTTGAATGATTGTGATTGAAAAGCCTAAGGAGGCTGCTAAACATTGCAAAGAGGGATTTGTATTATTAATATTCATAAACTTAACCATGTTGTAGCCGGAGAAAGGCTAAAACATATCAAAGAATACATTTATTAATTATCTCATTTAGCTGTAGCTTTTATAAACAACAACAAAGACGTATTGTTCAGGCGTTGAACCAGGGACCCTGCGGTCAGGAGTCAACTGCTTTCCAGCTGAGCCACAGCCCTCACGCTGAGTCTACCTGAAAACACTGCAACATATTTATTCCTGTATTTATTCATCTTTTTATTCCTACTTTTATTTATGCTTGTATCTATTTATTATGACATGTTCCGAACTCTATTTGAGTGAGGGTCTGAGCTCTCTTGATTCCATCGTGTCAGCACCGGGCCGGGTACAGGAGGGGTAATATGGTTCTTATTATACATCCATGGGTGTTATGAGCGTTGTGGTTCAACGGTTCAACCGATCTGAATGGCTTCCTGAAGCAGTCACGTGGTATCGACAGGCAGCGAGGCTTCGTTTGTCATCGATGACATCACTGGCCCAAAGCGATACAAGCCTCGATACATGCTTCACAAAAAGCTTCGGGGATTACTCGACACACGCTCCGAAGCCTCGGCGCAACACGTAACTTCACTGCTGGAAGGACCTTTAGTGGTGACTTTTTGACTACAGGTCCAAAACCAGCAAGCCACACGAATGTCTGGGAGCAGATGAATGGAATATGGGGAGTTAGCATGAAACACTTGAAATAACTAAAGGACAAGTTCAAAAAGAAAGTGAGGTCAAAGAAAACTGTGTGCTAAAAAGTGAGCAATGATTGAGTCAGAGCCAAACATTTCAGATGTCTCGCACTGTGACTTTAATTCATGCTCCTTTGTTATTCATGTTTTATTATCTTTGCTTTTTAATGAGTGTTTTTAAATGCCATTGTATAATATGTTTGTTAATGCTCTTAAAGGTGGGGTAGGTACGTTTGAGAAACCAGCTCGAGATACACTTGTTATATTCCATGGAATGCTCTTAACATCCCGATAGCAATGAATATCTGAAGTGCTTTGACAACAAATCCATAAAACAATGTCATCTGTGGAAGCTGCCGTGGTGCTGTAGAAAGCACGACCAATTGCGGATTGGATTGCCGCCCTGTCTGTCAGCCTTCCATCTCGTGCACGCACAAATGTATCGCGTGCCCTCATTGGGCGTGCCCTCATTGGGCGTGCCCTCATTGGGCGTGCCCTCATTGGGCGTGCCCTCATTGGGCGTGCCTTGCAGCAGTACTTCAATGACTCGCCAGCAACAAGCGGCCACTCTCACCAGTCTGCTGACGTCATGTGCGCGTTCATGTGTGTTGGAGGAGGTGCTCTGTAAGGAAGTCTGAAGGAAGGGGCGGATTCTTTTCGGCTGCGTACTTTCAAATTTTAGAGCACTCGAGCCGGTTTCTGAAACTTATCTTCCCCACCTTTAATGTCTTTCATGGTTGTAAAGCACTTTGACTTGCCTTGTGTCGAAATGTGCTTTATAAATAAACTTGTCTTGCCTTGCCTTGAAATAAAACAAAATAATAATTTGGGTTTTATTTGATGAATGTCCAGCAAAAATGTCAACTTACAAGTTATTCATGTGATTCTCTCATTGTGCCTTTCACCCTCTGCCGTCATACATGTACCACTTAAAGGGGACCTATCATGCAAAATGCACTTGTTGATGTCTTTTATACATAAAGATGTGTCTGGAACTCACGCAGCGTCAGAAAATAAAACCCTCTCTCTTCTCCTCCGTACCCAAATCTCTAAAAACGGGGAACAATGGAGCTGATCCAGATTTGCGTCCGATATGACGTAATATCTGAAATGTGGACCCACGGGCCAATCAGAAACGTTGCTATCAGAAACAATGCCCGACTGCTTTGGACGTAATATGGTCGGTGTTTACATTAGCATCGCTAACACTCAGAGCTAACCTGTACTGGAGAGCATGTGTGTGAAGAAGCAGGAAGTAAAAAGGAACTCACCTTGTGGTATAACCGGCAAGAGAGAAAGCCTTTGAGCTCCAGACTGTTTCAGAGAGAATCCTTGATGATCCATGATATGGCGTTTCATCACGGCAGTATCTCCCGTATGAGCAGGCATAAGCTCCGCCCCTCTTTTTTAACAATTTTTTTTTTTTAGAGAGAGGGATATGAGGCACGGCTAGAATGGGTGATCCGTTTGGTATTTTGAGCAAAACACTTCATAGACATGTTTTTTATTTTTTTGTATATATCTGAGACCTATGCTATTGCCTAGAAACAGCACGATAGGTGACCTTTAAAGGTCACAGAGATGAAAATAAGGAGCCCCTCCCCACACCCCTCTGAGAGAGATTTGGTTACAAAGAACTCAATGGTGCTCTAGGAGGAGATTCAGGTGATAAGGGGGGGGGGGGGGGGGGGGGTTACCTTGGTTGCTGATTGGCTAATGGTTACACAAGACAAGACATCGTTATGACATCATCAAGTGGCCAAAATCTGATCAGCTCATTTTCAGACAGGTTTTTATAGAAATGGATCAAAAAGAGAGAGAATCTTTGTTCCTGAAACTTTCAGAGTCTCTTTCCACAGAGGGGACACATGTTGATGTAGAAGAGACCTGAAGAAGATGGGGACACACTGTGATGTAGAAGAGACATGAAGAAGAGGGGACACATGTTGATGTAGAAGAGACATGAAGAAGAGGGGACACATGTTGATGTAGAAGAGACATGAAGAAGAGGGGACACAGTTGATGTAGAAGAGACATGAAGAAGAGGGGACACATGTTGATGTAGAGAGACATGAAGAAGAGGGGACACATGTTGATGTAGAAGAGACATGAAGAAGAGGGGACACATGATGTGATGAGAAGAAGACATGAAGAAGAGGGGACACATGTTGATGTAGAAGAACATGAAGAAGAGGGGACACATGTTGATGTAGAAGAGACATGAAGAAGAGGGGACACATGTTGATGTAGAAGAGACATGAAGAAGAGGGGACACATGTTGATGTAGAAGAGACATGAAGAAGAGGGACACATGTTGATGTAGAGAGAGACATGAAGAAGAGGGGACACATGTGATGGAGAAGAGACATGAAGAAGAGGGGACACATGTGATGTAGAAGAGACATGAAGAAGAGGGGACACATGTTGATGTAGAAGAGACATGAAGAAGAGGGGACACATTTGATGTAGAAGAGACATGAAGAAGGGGACACATGTTGATGTAGAAGAGACATGAAGAAGAGGGGACACATGTTGATGTAGAAGAGACATGAAGAAGAGGGGACACATGTTGATGTAGAAGAGACATGAAGAACAGGGGACACATGTTGATGTAGAAGAGACATGAAGAAGAGGGGACACTGTTGATGTAGAAGAGTGACAGAAGAAGAGGGGACACATGTTGATGTAGAAGAGACTGAGAAGAGGGGACACATGTTGATGTAGAAGAGACGTGAAGAAGAGGGGACACATGTTGATGTAGAAGTAGATGACATGAAGAAGAGAGGGGACACATGTTGATGTAGAGAGACATGGAGAAGAGGGGACACATGTTGATGAAGAAGAGTACATGAACAAGAAGGGGACACGTGTTGATGTAGAAGAGACATGAAGAAGAGGGGACACATGTTGATGTAGAAGAGACATGAAGAAGAGGGGCACATGTTGATGTAGAAGAGACATGAAGAAGAGGGGACACATGTTGATGTAGAAGAGACATGGAGAAGAGGGGGACACATGTTTGATGTAGAAGAGACATGAAGAAGAGGGGACACATGTTGATGTAGAAGAGACATGAAGAAGAGGGGACACATGTTGATGTAGAAGAGACATGGAGAAGAGGGGACACATGTTGATGTAGAAGAGACATGAAGAAGAGGGGGACACATGTTTGGATGTAGAAGAGACGTGAAGAAGAGGGGACACATGTTGATTGTAGAAGAGACGTGAAGAAGAGGGGGACACATGTTGATGTAGAAGAGACATGGAGAAGAGGGGACACATGTTGATGTAGAAGAGACGTGAAGAAGAGGGGACCATTTGATGTAAAGAGACATTGAAGAGACAGAGGGGACACATGTTGATGTAGAAGAGACATGAAGAAGAGGGGACACATGTTGATGTAGAAGAGACATGAAGAAGAGGGGACACATGTTGATGTAGAAGAGACATGAAGAAGAGGGGACACATGTTGATGTAGAAGAGACATGAGGAAGAGGGGACACATGTTGATGTAGAAGAGACATGAAGAAGAGGGGACACATGTTGATGTAGAAGAGACATGAAGAAGAGGGGACACATGTTGATGTAGAAGAGACATGGAAGAAGAGGGACACATGTTGATGTAGAAGAGACATGAAGAAGAGGGGACACATGTTGATGTAGAAGAGACATGGAAGAAGAGGGGGACACATGTTGATGTAGAAGAGACATGAAGAAGAGGGGACACATGTTGATGTAGAAGAGACAGTGAAGAAGAGGGGACACATGTTGATGTAGAAGAGACGTGAAGAAGAGGGGACACATGTTGATGTAGAAGAGACATGAAGAAGAGGG